ATCTTCACTCAAAACTGCTCTAGAGGAGTTGTACACCCCTAGCTGCCACTGCTATTCAGTAGCCTGAAATCAAATAATGTTTCGCTCCGGATGACCGCTGCAAAATATGATCGGAGTTTTGATTATAGTGTGCTGATCTTAAAGGTGCATTGAAAATTTTTGATACTCCGACTGATGCTCTTGCTGTTGTGGAGTGACTCATGCAGCCAGCTATGGCTGCAGGGTTTGGTGGTACATGTTGTTTATGTCGTTTATTGTGAAAATCCGGTCACAGTTCCTATGATCACTGTTACATTGCTTTTATGGCTTTATTTTGGTGATTTCGAAAAGTTTGGCCATGTTTGTTTGTTGAAGTAGGGAGTTAGAATGATGGCTTTAATCAGGGGCGGTTTCTTCATTAGGGCGATTGGGCGACGCACCACCAATGTCATTCAACCACAGTCACGCTAGCCGTCACTGTCAGCCTCTGGATATAGTCCAATCAGCGTCATGTCACGTTCTGTGGAGTACCGCCTCTTTTGGGGCGATTTCACTCCGGCTGAGAATCGCCCCGAGTGGCACCATAGACTTACATTCAAAGATGTTTTTTTTCGAACGGGGGCGGCTCCAATGCATTCTCTATGGCTTCTGGGAGGGCAAGCCCTAACGTGCTTACGTCATCATACGTGCTAACGTCATCATACGTAAGCACGTTTCATCCAACAATATAATTTATCGCTACCTAGTGGAATCTTTAATAAAATAAACTTGAGTGGTTTGTTTTAATAGTGAGTATATAAACAAACAACATGTATTGTAAGAGTCACTTTATTTTTCATTAATATTAAAGAAGTGAAGTTGCCTTTACATGCTTAAGCTGTTAATTTATCCATTGCATGGGTGGACCTTATCCTTATCAATCATCCAGACATTTGCCCCCCCTGAGAGATTTTGCAGGAGCCGCCACTGGCTTTAATCTAAGTTGTCTTGTGGTTGTTGTTGTTTTACTTGCATCCCACTGGGATTTTTTCACACGGCTTTGGTGTACGGTGCTTTTATTCTGGAAGACTTTGCAGTTTTATCCTAGATTTTTCTGTTTGCGCATAATCACTTTAAGATGTTTTCTTGTTCATGTTTTAGTTTTTTGTTTGTTGCGGTTGCACCCAATTCAAGAGCCGAATGGCTCACAGGACTATACCAAATAAATTAACTTGAACTTGACATTAGGCTCGCAACACAGAGGATGTGAAAGGGGGTGGGGGGGGGGGGTATTGACACCAACGCACAATCCACACGTGACGGATTAACAGCGCGATGGAAACCTGCCTGCAACCGCACGCTTCAATGAACTCGACACCATCCCTGCCGGCGTCTGCCCAAGCTCTGACACCCCTTGTAGGGAGAAGGGGGGAAGGGAGGGGAGGAGAGTGCCTCAATTGCCCCCAATGAACGCTCTTAAGAATCAATGCCCGCTGGAGGAGAGGTTCCTCAAGGGGTTCAACGTTTGGTGGTGAAGCATCCACCCTGCTCCTGACCTTGGCACTTCAACACCGCCTGAATCTTGAAATCTCCCCCCCCCATCACCCCCACCCACCCATATCAACCACCCCAACAACCCACCTGCCAACCCACCCTCCCAACCCACCCACCACCCCACCAACCCACCCAACCCACCCACCAACCCACCCAGGACCCCACCCAACTCACCCACCCACCAACCCACCCACCACCCCACCCAACCCACCCATCCACCAACCCACCCACCACCCCACCCAACCCATACAGGACCCCACCCAACCCACCCACCAACCCACCCACCCAGGACTCTACACAACCCACCCACCACCCCACCCAACCCACCCACCAACCCACCCACCAACCCACCCAACAACCCCACCCACCAACCTACCCACCAACCCCACCCACCCCACCGACCCCACCAACCAACCCAACCCCACCACCCCTCCGTCCACACGCCATCAGGCGACCTAAATTTAGTTCACACCGTGACGAGCGAGCGAGAGGCGAGATCAGCAGGTCAGAGGTCAAGGCGCGGTCGTGGGGGGGGGCGGGGTTCAAAGTTGCGATCAATTCCCAGCCCGCGTCCAAGTCGCGTGGCCTCAGCGTGGGGGGAGGAGGAGGGAGCGACAATCGTCATCCGTGGGGCGACGGAGTGAGAGAGAGACGGCGGGGGGGGGATCTCTTGCAGGTCCCTGTGGGTGGAAGATGCCATCCGCCAGCAGGGGAGAGAGCGAGCAATTGCAGGGGCTGCGCCTCTGTCCCCATGCAGCATCGCCCGGGATTGCGGGCGGCGCAGACGTCGGAGGCGCAGGGGGGGGGGGGTCGTACCCAGGTTCCAGCCGCTGCCTGCGGCTAAACCACAGAGACCCACAGACTCACACAGAGACCCATAGACTTACATAGAGACCCATAGACTCACATAGAGACACATAGACTGACGTAGAGACCCATAGACTTACATAGAGACCCATAGACTCACATAGAGACCCATAGACATACATAGAGACCCATAGACTCACATAGAGACCCATAGACTCACACAGAGACCCATAGACTTACATAGAGACCCATAGACTCACACAGAGACCCATATACTCACACAGAGACCCATAGAGTCACACAGAGACCCATAAACTCACACAGAGACCCATGGTGGTGGTGGCGGTGGTGGTGGCGGTGGTGGTCGTGACGGTGGTGGCGGTGGCTACGCTGCTGCTGCACGTGTCTGTCTGCCTGCAATGATCCGGCGTCGTTGAGGCAGCAGCAGCGAGGGGGTTGGTGGGTCACCGCACACGCACACACGCAAGTTGGCGTAAACTCCCTCCACGTGGCGCGTCGAGGAGTAGCCGTGCGCTGCCTCTGGCAGGAAGAGAGGGTAGAGCAAAGTGTGTTCGAACCTCCATCTGTTCCACCTTCACGTGAAGAACGCGTGGGGTTGTGTTCTCCGCGTGATCCGGCGCATTGGGATCCTGGGATGAAATGCGCCTTACAAATGTAGAGAACCTCCCACGGACGCACTCGTAGACGGAGGTAAGTTATGGGCTTTCGCCAGGGTTTATTAAAGCTGTTACAATATTACACAGCAGGGTACACAACTCCCAGGGGCTAGGGGGGTCCTACTCTGAGTCCGGGTCCCTGCCGGCTAGCTCCGGTCTCTCTCTCTTGTGTCGGATCGGGGACTCTGCCGACTCCACCGACTGGAGAGAGAAGTACCTCTACGGCTACCACCGGATTCTCCCCAGACTCCCTATTCGATCTCTCTCTCTCTACCCCTGGTTCCCTCTTCACTCTTCTTACTCTACCCGTTCACACGGTGACCCCGCTTACGTCACGGGGTCTCCCTTAAGTACCCTAGGAGACGTGACGTCATCGCACTGAACGGCACACCTGACGTCACGTCCCCGTTTTACTCCTCTACACAAATGTAACAGAGATGGCGATTGCCTCGCAACAACGTGTACACAATCGTCAGTTGGGCCAATGAGAGATCGATACGTGTGGGACCGCAGAGCTTGGGCAATCGGCTCCTCACCACCGCGTGGCTGCTGCTGCTGCTGCCTTCCCGCTCCTCGTCTGTGGCTCCTCCACATGTCGGTGATGTGCAGCGCGTCTTCCTCGAACGCTGGGGAGCCGGACAAGCCCCTCTCTGTACCAGCGTGGACGGCACCCTCGTGTTCACCTTCTAAAGCGCTCGCTCGTCACCGTGGCGCTCGCGATGACCATCACCACCATCACCCCCACCACCACAACAACCCCTACCACCACCACCTGCACCACCCCCACCACCACCGTCCCCACCACCACCACCACCACCCACACCACCACCACCGACACCACCACCACCCGCACCACCTGCACCACCCCCACCACCACCACCACCACCCCCACCACCACTACCCACACCACCACCACCCACACCACCACCACCCCCACCACAACCACTCCCACCACCACCACGTGACTTTTATTTCGTGTTGTGTGAGGTGCATTTATCGCCACAACGCGTGGATGGACAGTGTTTGTTATTTGTGTTGCTGGTGAGTTTGTGTGTTTCGCATCGGAATCACCTCCAGTGCTGTTGCTGCTGGCGGCAATAAAAGTTGTTTGAAAGTCAAAAGTCTCTCTGAGTCGTCCTCTCTTTCTCTCTGAGTCGTCCTCTCTCTCTGAGTCGTCCTCTCTCTCTGAGTCGTCCCCTCTCTCTCTCGGAATCGTCCTCTCTCTCTCTGAGTCGTCCTCTCTCTCTGAGTCGTCCTCCTTCTCTCTCTGAGTCGTCCTCTCTCTGAGTCGTCCTCCCTCTCTCTCTGAGTCGTCCTCTCTCTCTGGGTCGTCCTCCCTCTCTCTCTGAGTCGTCCTCCCTCTCTCTTTGAGTCGTCCTATCTCTCTCTCCGGCTTTGCGAGGTGACGAGCGAGATGCAAAACTATTTTTCCAATATGATATCCGTTTATTAACTCTTCACACAAATATACATGGCACATCCGAATCAATCATCCTCACACTACTCACTCCTTTTCAGCTCCCCCCCCCCCCCCACATAATATAAACAGATCAAAGTCTCAAAAGAAGTCACCACGCACACGCCAGCGTAACAAGACGCCTCTTTTCGATTTCATATATCGGCTAACACACCTCGGTTGGATTAATGTCACTTTTAAAACTACCCGCGTGCGATAATGGAGCCGTCCGAAAATAAAAATGAAATTGACATTTTAATGAAATTCTGGCTAGAGATGGCGGGAGTGGGTGGGGGGGTGGTGGGTGGGTGGGGGGGGGTGGGTGGGTGGGGGGTGGTGGGTGGGTGGGTGGGGGGGGGTGGGTGGGTGGGGGGGTGGTGGGTGGGTGGTGGGTGGGGGGGGGTGGTGGGTGGGTGGGGGGGATGGTGGGTGGGTGGTGGGTGGGGGGGTGTGGGGGGTGGGTGGGGGGGATGGTGGGTGGGTGGTGGATGGGGGAGTGGTGGGTGGGTGGGGGAGTGTGGGGGGTGGGTGGGGGAGTTTGGGGGGTGGGGGGTGTGGGGGGGGGGGTCCCCACGGAGTCCATCACGAACGGACAGCCAGGCGATTGCTCCTGTGGACGCGTTCAGTGGGAACTATTAAACAAATTTTTGTATTTCATTGTACCACGTGTGAGCCCCCCCCCCGCCCCCCACTGTGTTTCGCTGCTCTATTTCAGCAGCCCTGCCTTGGCCATCACCAAGGATAGCTCAACGAAGTGGCGGCTGATCTTCATCATCATAATCATCAATCATCGTCGTCGTCGTCACCACCAACATCGGTCGCTGTGCGTGAGACATTTACAGCAGCAGACAAATAATCCAGACCCGCGCGATGTCCATCGGAAACGTGGAGGGGGGAAACTCGGAGGATGAGGAGTGGGGGGAGGAGGGAGGAGGAGGAAGGAAGGAGGAGGGAGAAGGAGGAGGGAGGAGCAGGAGGAAGGAGGAAGAGGAAGGAGGGAAGAGGAGGAGGGAGGAGGGAGGAGGAGGGAGGGGCAGGAGGAAGAAGAGAGGAGGAGGAGTGAGGAGGAGATAGGGAGGAGGGAGGGAGGAGGGAGGAGCAGAATGAAGAAGGGAGGAGGAAGGAGGAGGCCATACTGTGGCTCGCCGGGAGGTGGTGCAGCGGGAGTGTGGCCCAATCTCCATCTGTCCCATCTGTCACAGCTCGTGCGCGCTGCCGTTGTGGTGAATGAATTAGGTCAACTCGTAACGCAGCGAGAGAGAGAATGAGAGAGAGAGAGAGAAAAAGAGAGGGGACGACTCAGAGAGAGAGAGGAGGGACAACTCAGATAGAGAGAGAGAGAGCGGTCCTCTACGTATCAAGGTGCCACCGGCCCAACGATCCACACGTGCGAGGGAGAAACACGCTATCCCCTGTACAAGACGGAACGGGTAGTGGAGTCCCCGTGTCTTGCATGTGCCGCCTCCGCCTGATGCGGCACGGTACGGGCTCACACTCGACACCCATGGTACGGGCTCACACTCAACACCCATGGTACGGGCTCACACTCGACACCCATGGTACGGGCTCACACTCCACACCCATGGTACGGGCTCACACTCGATACCCACGGTACGGGCTCACACTCGACACCCATGGTACGGGCTCACACTCCACACCCACGGTACGGGCTCACATTCCACGCCCGCGGTACGGGCTCACACAGGACATCTTTTGCTTGCATCGAAACACAAACGCCCTGGATAACGACGGGGAGATGGAGCGCCCGCGAGGCCGTACCCTGCGACAAAAGCCCTCGCCGGTCGCTGAACCTCATCGGCAACATCGGGGCAATCGCAACCAATTCCCGAAGCGAATCAGAAGCTGGGAGAGTTTAAAAAAAGTAAAACAATGAGCGGAAAGGAAATGAGGTTCGTAACAACTTGAGCTCGTTGATCAGATAATTGCTGCTTCTTGTATTTCTGCTTCACCCTTTAAAATCTTAAATCAAGGTTTAAAAAAAAAGATGCCATATTATTTATTCTTATTATTATTATTATATATATTTTTTTCTAAATGAAATACAATTAAAAGTGTGTGAGTGCGTGTGTCGGGGCATGTGTGTGTGTCGGCTGTGTGTGTGTGTCTGTCAGTGTGTGTGTCGGTGTGTGTCAGTGTGCGTGTCAGTGTGTGTGTCAGTGTGTGTGTGTCGGAGTGTGTGTGTTTCAGTGTGTGTGTGCGTGTGTCGGGGTGTGTGTGTGTGTCAGTGTGGGTCAGTGTGTGTGCGTATGTCGGGGTGTGTGTGTGTGTGTCAGTGTGTGTGTGTCAGTGTGTGTGTGGAGCGGTTAGTGCTACGCTGCGCTACGCACCCGGCGACCCGAGTTCGATTCCCACTCATGTCCAACACCGGTGACGATTATTTGAACCGGTCCTGGGCATCCTCTAGGTCGACTCAGCCTCAAATTAGTACCTGGTGTGGTGTGTAAACATCGCCACTGGGGAGACAAAGGCGGCTGAGCGTGGTACTGGCCACCCACCCCCTCGTGTGCCGTTCCGGCCTTCATAGGTGCTCGCTAACAACACTTGCACCAACAGTCTGTTAAGTCTACACGGGGGATCTTCGTCTTTGTTTCGTGTGTAGGGGAACGGTAGTGCAGCGGTTAGCACGGTGAGTAGTGAGTGAGTGGGTGAGTTTCGCATGGAAATGAATGAATAGGTGAGTAGTGAATGAATGAGTGGGTGCGTGAATGAGTGAGTTATTGAGTTGCTTGGAATTAAATGAACGGGTGAGTAGTGAGTAGGTGAATGAGTGAGTGGGTGAATGCGTGAGTGGGTGAGTGAATGAGTAGTTGGGTGAATGAGTGAGTAAATGAGTGAGTGAGTGAATGAATGGGCGAGTGAGTTATTGAGTCACTTGGAAATAAATTAATGAACAGGTGAGCAGTAAGTGAGTGGGTGAATGAGTGAGTGAGTGGGTGAATGAATGAGTGATTGGGTAAGTTAATGAGTCGCTAGTAAATGAATGAACGGGTGAGTATTGAGCGAGTGGGTGAATGAGTGAGTGAGTTATTGAGTCGCTTGGAAATGAATGAACGGGTGAATAGTGAGTGGGTGGGTGGCCTCGAAGTGCAGCAAGCCTGGCACAAGCGCCGTGGTGACGTCGCTTCCGCTTAGTGACGAATGGCACCAGCTGCTGGTGCTGCAGCAGCTGGTGCTGGTGGTGGCGTCGTTGTTGAGTGAGCGAGCGGGTCGCCCCGGTTCCTTTTGGGGACGACGCCGTTGCGTACCGAGGACGACCCCGAGATGCGGCCGCTCGTGACGGAGTTCCTCCTCCGTGAGCCTCGAGAGGGGGACTTGCCCCTGGCGCGCACGTCATCGTTGCTGTCACTTGAGCTGCTGCTGCTGCTGTCGCTGCTGCTGCCGCTGCTGCTGCCGCTGCTGCTGATGGTTCCTCGGCGAGAGCGTCTCCCCGATTCGTTGGGAGGAACCGGAGGACGAGGCGGAGTTCTGTCCGCAGCGTTGCTCAGCGGACGACCCAGGTCTCCCGCCCCCGATCGCTCTTCGTCGTCCTTGGCCACCTCCTTGCTGCCATTTTCCACTCCGCGGATCTCCTTTTTGACGGAGCCACCCAAACCTGCATCGTCAACAGGTAGAGGCGGAGATCTGTCCGCAGCATTGCTCAGCGGACGACCCAGGTCTCCCTCCCCCGATCGCTCTTCGTCGTCCTTGGCCACCTCCTTGCTGCCATTTTCCACTCCGCGGATCTCCTTTTTGACGGAGCCACCCAAACCTGCATCGTCAATAGGTAGAGGCAGAGATCTGTCCGCAGCATTGCTCAGCGGACGACCCAGGTCTCCCTCCTCCGATCGCTCTTCGTCGTCCTTGGCCGCCTCCTTGTTGCCATCTTCCACTCCACGGATCTCCTTTTCGATGGAGCCACTCAACAATGCGTCGTCAACAGGGCGAAGCAGAGTTCTGTCCGCAGCATTGCTCAGCGGACGACCCAGGTCTCCCTCTTCTGATCGCGTTTTATCGTCCTTGGCCGCCTCCTTGCTGCCATCTTCCACTCCACGGATCTCCTTTTCGACGGAGCCACTCAACAATGCGTCATCAACAGGGTGAGGCGGAGTTCTGTCCACAGCATTGCTCTGTGGTTGACCCAGGTCTCCCTCTTCTGATCGCTCTTCCTCTTTCTTGGCCACCTCCTTGCTGGCATCTTCCACTCCGCGGATCTCCTTTCTGACAGAGCCACTCAACAATGCGTTGTCAACAGGGCGAGGTGGAGATCTGTCCGCAGCACTGCTCCGCGGACGACCCAGGTCCCCCTCCTCCGATCGCTCTTTGTCGTCCTTGGCCGCCTCCTCGCTGCCATCTTCCACTCCGCGAATCTCCTTTTCGACAGAGCCACCCAACCCTGCGTCGTCAACAGGGCGAAGCAGAAATCTGTCCACAGCACTGCTCAGTGGTTTTTCCAGGTCTCCCTCCTCCGATCGATCTTTTTCTTTGCTGGCAGCCTCGTCGTTCGTTCCGCCAAGCCTGGGGATATCCTCCTTCTCATCACGCACCTCGTCACCCGCTACTGCTCTGGGCGTCCCCGCTCTGCCGCTGGCTCTGCCGAGGATATCGAAGCGCCGGATGCGGCCGCCCGTGGCCGACCCCTGTCTGCTCGAGCCCGAGGCCTCGCCGGCCGCCGTCGTGCCTCCTCCGCCGCCCTCTACGGCCTCCGACCGGGAGGGAGAAGCGCCACTTCCCATCTCCTTCGGGTCGCGCTCGGCTGCATCCGGCGCTCTGCCGCCCGTACCGCCGGCGTCGTGGTCCCGGCGGCTGCGCCCCTCAGCCTGGACGTCAGCGTCGAGGCTCTTCCTGCTCCTGGTGCTGTTCCTGCTCCTGGTGCTGCTGCTTCTGCGGCTCGCTTCCCCCGACCGGCGTACACTTGGCGTGGGCCTCCCGACGGTCCCCTCCACTCCACCGTCCCGCGAGACGCTGCCGCTGCCGCCGTCGTCGCGCTCACCGGGGCCTCCGTCGTCCGGGAGATCTGACGCTGGCTTTTCTATCGTCGTCTTCCCCACGCTGCCGCCGGTCCCATCGGCACCACTCGAACGACCCGACGCTTCGGCCGGGACATCCGTCTGGAGGTTGCCACTTCCGCGACTCGGTGTGGGGGTATCGACGCCCGGCGCGCCGCTCCTCATCGTCTGCCCTTCTGGCTCGACCTCCGCCGCGTCCAACTCCCCGCTGGCGCGGCTGGGCCCTTCGACCTCGAGGGCCGCAAGCGAGTCGCTTCCGACGACGCTTCGGACGCTTCGGACGCTTCTGCGGCCGTCGCTCGCACGGCTCGCGGCCTCCGACCGGGGTCCACTCGGCGTGGCGCCGACGCCGGCCGTCCCGACAGTCCTCTCGAAGGTGCCACCGTCTGCCGAGCTCTTGCTGCGGCTGCTGTTCTTCCCGTCGCCTTCATCATCATCATCGTCACCTCTGCCGCCGCCGTCGTCACCACCGGCGCGGTACGCACGGTGAGAAGCCGCGTCCGTGGCCACAGCTGCAGCCGCCTCCTCTACCGGTTCCCCTGGGAGAGGGAAGAGGGAACAACGGTGAGTTCCGGACGCTTGCGACGGATAAGCGGAGCGGAGCGGCAGCTCGACCCCCCACTCCCCCCCTCCCCCGCCACCCCGCCCCCCACCAGAGCCAAGCATCAGAATCGAACCCAGGTCGGAAGGAGAAATGCCCGGTTGCGCTCGCAGCTGCGCCGCCACTCCATGCCAACGTGGCTACCACCAGTGACGGTTAAGTGAACCGATCCCGGGCTTCCCCTAGGTCGACTCAGCCTCAAATAAGTACTGGCGTGGTGTGTAAACATCGTCATTGCGGCCTTCATAGGTGCTTGCTAACAGCACTTTGCCCCAACAGTCTGCTAAGGCTATACGGGGGATCTTTGTCATGCTGGTGGTGGTGGTGGTGGCAGTTCGCGCCTCGCAACATAAAAGAGTTTAACACGTAGGCTTTCGCGACCAATGTTATTCATAATCAACGATTTTTGGGTTTAGATCACGTTTATTTATAAATGTGTCGTAACCCTCCACCACCCGACACGGCCAATCAGTAAAAATGTGTCACGTTGACAAAGACAAATAGTTCACTGCTTTAGCCCACCGGTGTGTTGAAGCAACAACATTTACAATTTCTGGCGAATTGCCCGATGATGCTGGTTGCAATTACCAGCGAAACGTCGTACTCAAATTGTAAATGTTGTTGCTTCAACACACCGGTGGGCTAAAGCAGTGAACTATTTGTCTTTGTCAACGTGACACATTTTTACTGATTGGCCGTGTCGGGTGGTGGAGGGTTACGACACATTTATAAATAAACGCGATCTAAACCCAAAAATCGTTGATTATGAACATAAAAGAGGCCTGGGTTCAATTCCCTGCCTCTGGCGCCTCTCTGTGTGGAGTTTGTGTGTTCTCCCCCTGCTTTACAGAGTGAGTGTGAGCGTGTGGGAGTGCGACCCTTCATAGGTGCTACTCGCTAATGCCACTTGCCCCGACAACCTGTCGAAGGCTATCCACGGGGGGAGGGGGGAGGGGGGGAGGGGACCTTTGTCTTTATGCTGTATTATATTGCACGATTCAACCGAGGAGAAAAACTTTGAAGGCCTCGGCTACCGTCGTCCAGTCACTCACCTATCAGAGACCCGGATCGCAGAAGCCTCCGGTAGGCCCCGAGTAGACTGTCGCTCTCCCAGTCGCTGTCTCTTCTGGTCCCTCCACCCGAGCTCGCTCCGCCGCTCCGATGACTGTGAAGTGCGCCATCCTCTTCCTCTTTCTTCCCCTCCATGTCCTCCGCCTCCTCCTTCTCACCATCGTCGCGCCCTGGCAGGCAGGCCCCTCCGTCCGCCACGTCTCCTTCGCCGACGCTCTTCCTCGCCTCCCCCTCCTCGTCCTCCTCATCGCCGTGCGGCCCCGACCCCTGCAGTTGCGGCATCACGGTGACGACGGCGTTGGCGGTGACCGCGGCGGTGGCGGTGGTGCCCGGCGAGTGACCGGAGAGGAGCGCCGCGAGGCCTCGGCTCCCGGCGTCGCTCTCCGAGCCTGAATCGTCGCCCGGCACCGCGAGCGACAATGACGATGACGACGACACAAAGAGCCGGCTGAGCCCCGGCGAGCTTCCCGTGGTCTCCGAGCCCGAGAGTGACACGTCGTCGCTCACATCCGTCGGGTCGGAGGTCGACCGCTCCTCATCTTGGGCGCAGTCTCCTGCTCCTGGCGCTCCCGACGGAGCGGCGTCCACCTCCTCCTGATGCTCCTCCACCGTCACCACCGCCACCTCGTCCACCTCCTCGTCGTGCCCGGGAGACGCAATCCCGGCGGGCGACCTCACACTCACGGTGCGGCTGCTGCCGCTGCTGCTCTGGCGACGGCGGCGGCGGCGGTGGTCCAGAGCCGGGGAGGATCGCGAGAGTGGCCCGGACGGCCGGCAGGCAAGTTCCCCCGTGGGCGACGTGACGGCCGCAGGCGACACCGTCCCGGAGCGAGCGGCGGAAGCCACGGGAGGGTCACCCGCGGCGGCGACCCAGCGGGGCGAATCTGGTCGCGAAACAAAAAAAAAGAGTCGCTATTAATTGCCGTACGGCCGATGTCTACACGGAACAATGGCTACGACGTTGCATTTCGGTGGTCAAGCCGGATGAGCGAATCAGGAGCTGTGCATCGTTGTTATGTCTCCAAAGTATTTGTGCCGTTGCATTGTCACGCATCATACTCTCTGTTCCGGACGACCGCAGTCGCACACTGGAGACTTCAATCAATTTGTCGCATCGGACATCTGCATCTGCTGCTGCCGTGCTTCGTGCAGGCAGATGCGGCTTAGAGGGTGGACCACAAGGAGCTTCATGGAAGACCACACCCTAGGGATCGCCTGCGGACGCCACCGTCAGAGAACGACACTGGGGGCGATCTGCGTGTGACCCGCCTACCCTCGCCGTCGGCGCCTGTTACCGGGGGGTTTGGGCAGGCGCGGGGTGGGAGCGGCGGTCGGGGTGGAGGAGCCGCTGCCGGACGAGGTGCTCGCCTCGGGGGAGGAGCATCGGCGCGGCCGTGCCGACGCTTGCGCGATGATCGCCTTCAGCTCGCGCACTCGCTCTGCCGGGGGGGGGGAGGGGCAGGGGGGAGAGGCAAGTGGGAGAAGCGAGCGGAGAGGGGGTGGTGGCGGTGGCAAGAGGCGGGGAGGGAGAGATGGGGGGGGAGTGGTGGGGAGGCGGGAGGGTGGGGGCAATGGAATTTGTTGGAGCTCGTGAGAGCCGTGGCCCACTCCGGCTCGGCTGCGCCGGGCTGCCATATGCCGCGTCGATGGCGCCGCGATGGGACTTACCGGGAGTGCCACCCCGGTTTGCACGTTCTGCCACCATCTCCTCCTCCTCCGCTGCCTCCACCTCCTTCTCCACCTCCTTCCTCTCCGCCGCTTCCTTCGCCGCCTCTTCCTTGACCTCCGCCCCTCTTCCCAGCCGCTTCCTTCTTCCCTTTCTCCTCTGCCTTCTCTGTCACCTCCTCCTCCACCACCCCCTTCGTGGCCGCCCCTCGTCCCTTCCCACGTTGTCTCCGTCGGCCGGCCGATCGCAGATTCCTTCGGTTGTCCCCACGGCTCGACGGGCTCCTCCAATCCCTCCCCTTCCCAGAATCCCCTGCGTCACTGCCACCCCCTTTCGTCACTGTGGCACTGCCGCTGCTCCTGCTCCTGCTGCTGCTGCTACTGCTGCTGCTTGTGCTGTCGCGCGTTCGAGCACGGCTACCCCTCCGCTCGGCGTCGCCCGTCGTTTCGGAAGTTGGCCCTTTCCGAGGCGTGGGCTCCCGGCTCCCCGCGCTCCCGGGGACTCGCTCGGCTCGGCTCGGCGCGTCCAAGCCGACGTCTCGCTCCGGCCGGATGTCGCGGGGTCCCCGTGGCCTCTCTGGAACGGAATCGGACCGCCGCCGGAGAAGAACAAACGGGTGAGGCGTGCGCTTGCCTACGGGGGTCTGCAAGTCGCCGGCTCGAAACAGCGGTGCTGTGTTTGATAAATCCGACGCCGGGCCACACCGCCGCTGCCTCGTCCCGTCTTGTGGTATACACGCGTCACGGAAGCTCCACGTTACTATGGCGGGGGCGAGTCTGTCCCATAAGACAAACACCGTTGACTTGGCCCCCCCCTCACAATGTTATACTTAATTTTGTCAACCACGGAGAGAGGGACGATGGGGCTGAGTTCGCCCCACGGCCGGGCTTTAAACTCTCGACCTTCCGATCGGCAGGTCGCGTGCGGTGGAAGAAAGTGTGGGGACACTGCACGCCTCTTCTTCTGAGATGTCCGGCTCAGCGTGGACGAGTAGGCCAAATACAACCCGAGCGGGGCTCTCTGGAACTGCCCTCGATTGGAGGCCCTTGTGCCAGTGCAAGGCAGCAATAGCAGGGCTGCGCCTCTATCTCTTTAGCAATAACGATGGCCAAGGGGGTTGTATGGGGGGGAGGCTATATCCAGCATTGGATAGACAATGGTTCACGATGTTGTTGGGAACATTGACGGTGGTGGTCACGATGATGATGTTGCTGTTGGTAATCATGAGAATGTTAACAGTGGTGATGATCACGATGATGATGACGACAATGATGACGACGATGATGATGATGACAATCTCGTGACGAGGGGACAGCAGCTGCCCGGCCGTATCACCGTCGAGGGTCAACACCGCAGCCGGTCTTTTCAAAGCCATAAAATGTTTATAAAAATAAACTCGTTTACGTGATAACATTTTTATCCTGTCGGTGGTAGGGGGTGGGTGACGGCGGGGGGGGGGGGGGGGCGGCGGAGTGAGGGCGGGAAATAGCGGCGTCAAAACTACAGCCCCCCCCCCCCCCCCCCCCGCTGTGCGAAATTGAAAATTCTCCACCTACAATTCTTGAACCCCACAGCGTTAACGAGAACAACAACGACGATGACAACAACGACAACAACAACAACGACGACGACAACAACAACAATGACAACTACGACGACAACAACGAGGACAACAACGCTATTATCGGCGCTGTAACCCCGAGCGGGCAGGTGGGTGGATGGGTGAGCTGATGGCTGAGGGGGCGGGTGAGCGGACGGATGAGCATATGGGTGAGCGGGCGGGTGAGCGGGCGGGTGAGCAGATGGGTGAGTGGACGGGCGAGTGAGTGGGTGAGCAGATGGGTGAGCGGGCGGGTGAGCGGGTGGGTGAGCAGACGGGTGAGCGGGCAGGTGAGCGGGCGGGTGAGCGGATGGGTGAGCGGGCAGGTGAGCGGACGGGTGAGCGCGCTGGCGAGCGGGCGGGTGAGTGGACTGGTGAGCGGACGGGTGAGCGGGCGGGTGAGCGGGCGGGTGAGTGGGCGGGTGAGCGGACGGGTGAGCGGGCGGGTGAGCAGGCAGGCTAGCGGGCGGGTGAGTGGACTGGTGAGGGGACTGGTGAGCGAACGGGTAAGTGGACGGGTGAGCGGGCGGGTGAGCAGGCGGGTGAGTGAGCGGGTGCGCAGGCGGGTGAGCAGATGGGTGAGCGGGCAGGCGGGTGAGCGGGCGGGCGGGTGAGCGGGCGGGCGAGCGAGCGGATGTGTGAGCGAACAGGCGAGCGAACAGGTGAGTGGACGGGTGAGCGGGCGAGCGGGCGGGCGAGCGGCAAGCTGGCGGTCCCCGGCTGCGTCGCCCCCACTGTTGAATCTGACCTCACTCATTATTGGTTATCTCTCCTGTGAACGTGACGTGCATGCGTGCATTTGTCGGAGGGAGGTGAGTGCAACGGTTAGCGCTACGCTGCGCTACGAACCCCGGCGACCAGTCAACGATGATCTGAATCGGTCGTGGGCCTCCCCTAGGTCGACACAGCCTCAAATGAGTACCTGGTGCGGTGTGTGCGAGAGACAAAGGCGGCCGGGCGTGGTGATGGCCACTAAACCCCCTCGTGTGCTGCGCCGGGCTTAATGGGTGCTACTCGCTAACAGCACTTGCCCCAACATCCTGTTAAGTTAACACGTGGGATATTTTTCTTCGTAAGAGAGCGTCTCAGCACTGTGCCACACGCCGTCTCGTCAACTCGGCACATTTCTTTTAAGTGGCACGGGGTGACTCAGCATAGGGGCACCCCCAGTGGCAGCTGCCCCTGCCTGTGGTGACTCGATACGAGCGATGATAATAATAACGTTCACCGAGCTTACACAGACGACGACGACGATGATGCAAGCAATTATTCTGATGTCTGCGATGATGTCAACGAAGACAATGAATATAAGGATAGGTTTTGACCCTTTCTGACAATATAAGATGTTAAAACACCAAACTGAAACCTTTGCCTATGAATCATGTCTGCATGAACCACACATACATGTGGTGAACATGCAAACAAAATGGCGGTGACAATGAAGCTGATGGCAGAGAGGATCACGATGAAGAGGCGTGAAGTCTCCACCTCTTCACCCACCTGAGCTCTTATCATCGCTCAATGAGCTCTCATCGTTCTTCTTGGCATCGTGGTCCTCCACCTCCTCCACCTCCTCCACCTCTTTCTCCTCCTCGATCTCCAACCTCCCCTTGTCCTCCTCCTCTTCCTTCACGGACTCATCGTCCGACGGGGCGGCTTTCACCTCATCGCGCGGGATGACGATGGCATCGTGGCTGGCTGCTGCAAATAGAAAACAACAAAAACACACCCCGCTCCCCGTCACAATCAATCGCGTTTCGCGTTTCATCTTTGCTGAAATTTCAGGCTCCGAAAATCCCGAGCGTCAGTTTGGCCGTCACGTGACGAGCATTTGATCTCGGATATGGCCGAGAGAGTGAGGAGTTTGCTCCCCTCGTGCTACGTGGTGCACCAAAGTGTCACTTCCAGAAGGGATCTCAGATGTAGCTCTGTCATATCAACTTCCTCGGGACGGTCTCTGTGTATGTGTACCGGAGTGTCCCTTGAAGAAGAATGAATGGATCGCAGACGTAGCTCTGCCATTTCAACTTCCTCGGGACGGTCTCTGTGTGTGTACCAAAGTGTCACTTGAAGAAAAAGGAATGGGTCTCAGACGTAGCTCTGTGAAATCAACTTCCTCGGGACGGTCTCTGTGTGTGTGTACCAGAGTGTCACTTGCAGAAGGGATCTCAGACGTAGCTCTGTGATATCAACTTCCTCGGGACGGTCTCTGTGTGTGTACCAAAGTGTCACATGAAGAAGAAGGAAGAGATCTCAGTGGAGCCAGGCTCGCCCTGCTCAAGCCCTGGACATCTCGAACAAGATTCGGAGGGGGGGCGGGGGCACATTCGCTGTGAGCAATCCCATGCCCCCTCTTTATCCGATGATGGCTCAACACTGGTGGGGGGTGTGGGGGGGGGGGGGGCGAGGAAGGGGGGAGGGGGGTTAAAGGGTGGTTGGGGGGAAGGGAAATTCTGATGTACCCTGATGCTCAGCTTTTATATCGGACTAGCTCTACTACCCGGCTTCGCCCGGGACTTGGATTTACCACGCCCGGCCGCCTTTGTCTCCCCAGTGGCGATGTTCACACACCACAGCAGTTACTCGTTTTGAGGCTGAGTCGACCTAGGGGAGGCCCAGGACCGGTTCAAATAATCGTCACCGGTGGTGGCCGTGAGCGGGAATCAAACTCGGGTCGCCGGGTTCGTAGCGCGGCGCGCTAACCGCTACACCACAATGCGTTACGCTACCACATGCGCGGGTCACGTGACAGATTTGACCGTCACAGCTCACTTGCCGTGCAAAAAATCTATGCATTATTGAGCTCCCCCCCCCCTCCCAAAAAAAGTGTATTTTCATAATTTTTGCATGGTGTACAGTCTGGAAAGTACCCACATGGCAAATTTGCAGTTTATTGCAATGCGTTACGCTGCCACATGCGCGGGTCACGTGACAGAGAGAGCTAATTGAGAGCTCCGCTGGCCGTATGAGCGAGCGGAGAGCGGCGTGCCTTGAAAGGCGCCCTCGTTAGCAAGGAGTCGCATCTGAAGGATTTCAACAACAAAGAAAGGAAAGGCTTCCATTAGTGTTGGCATAATAATAGCGACGATCGAATTGAAATGCAGGAGCTGCGTCTCTCGGAGGCCTGGAGAGGCAGAGGTCAGAAAGGCGATGAGAGCGTGGGTTCCACTCCAGGTTCCAACCACACATAGAGACCCATAGACTCCCATAGAGACCCATAGACTCACATAGAGACCCATAGACTCACACAGAGACCCATAGACTCACATAGAGTCCCATAGACTCATATAGAGACCCATAGACTCACATAGAGACCCATAGACTCACACAGGGTCCCATAGACTCAAATGGAGACCCATAGACTTACATAGAGACCCATAGACTCACATAGAGTCCCATAGACTCATATAGAGACCCATAGACTCACATAGAGACCCATAGACTGACATAGAGACCCATAGACTTACATAGAGACCCATAGACTCACATAGAGACCCATAGACTCACATAGAGACCCATAGACTCACATAGAGACCCATAGACTCACATAGAGACCCATATACTTACATTGAGACCCATAGACTCACATAGAGACCCATAGACTCACATAGAGTCCCATAGACTCCTATAGAGTCCCATAGACTCACATTAAAAACCCATAAACTCACATGGAGACCCGTAGACTTACATAGAGACTCATCGACTCACATAGAGATCCATTGACTCACATACTCATAGACTCACACAGAGACCCACAGACTCACATAGAGTCCAATAGACTCATACAGAGATTTACGGACTCACGTAGAGTCCCATAGACCCATTTAGAGACCCACAGTCTCACACAGAGACCCACAGACTCACACAGAGGTGCTGGGTTGTTTATTGTATCGTGGTGGTGGTGGCAGCGTTGGTGGCAGCGGTTGTGGGGATTATTTGACCATACTTCACCGCGCGGGTTCCAGTGGGATTTGGAAAGGCCATGTGGGTTTCCTTGGCAGCGACGTTTACACACCGCACCAGGTGCTCATTTGAGGCTGAGTTGATCTAGTGGAGGCCACGGACCGGTGCAGACAATCGTCGCTGGTGTTGGCCATGAGCGGGAATCAAAGTCGGATCACCACTCCACCACACAGACAAAGGTCCCCCGTGTAGCCTTCAACAGACTGTTGGGGCAAGTACTGTTAGAGAGGACACTCACACACGCTCACACTCACTCACACACACTCACACACGCTCACACTCGCACACACTCACACACACATACGCTCACACTTCCAAATGCTCACACTCCCACACGCTCACACTCACACACGCTCACACTCCCACACGCTCATACTCACACACACTCACACACGCTCACACTCCCACACGCTCACACTCACACACGCTCACACACACGCTCACACTTGCTCACACACACACTCACACACGCTCACACACACACTCACACACGCTCACATTGACACACGCTCACACTCCCGCACGCTCACACTCACACACGTTCACACTCCCACACGCTCACACTCGCACATGCTCACACTCACACACGCTCACACACACTCACACACACTCACACACGCTCACACTCCCACACGCACACACTCACACACGCTCATACTCCCACAAGCTCACACTCCTACATGCTCACACTCACACACGCTCACACACGCTCACACTCACACACGCTCACACTCACACATGCTCACACTCCCACACGCACACACGCACACAGACACACACGCTCACACGCTCACACTCCCACACTCACACACGCTCACACTCACACATGCACACATTGACACACGCTCACACTCACTCTGTAAAGCAGGGGGAGAACACACGAACTCCACACGGAGAGGTGCCAGAGTGAGGGAATCGAACCCAGGTCCCTTCGATGTTGCGAGGCGCGACCATCACCGCTGCACCGCCACCACCACCACCACAAAGACAAAGATCCTCCGTGTAGCCTTAACACACTGTTGGGGCAAAGTGCTATTAGCGAGCACCTGTGAAGGCCGGCACGGCACACGAGGGGAGTGGGAGGCCAGCACCACGCTCGGCCGCCTTTGTCTCCCTAGCGAGACGAAGACCGCCACTGCCCTGCCGCCCGATTAATCAAACTTTTCCCGTCCGCCATTCTCACCGCGCACGGAGGAGGTGCGGCGTGGTGACGACGACGAGGACGACGAGGAGGACGAGGAGGACGACGACGACGAGGAGGAGGCAGGGCGAGAGGAGCGATGTTTGTCGATGCTGGATCGACCGCTGTGTGTCGATCCATCGCCTCCGCCGTCCCCTCCGCTGTCGCCGGCGTAGTCACCTGAGGGTTGCGGGGGGGGCCGGGGGGGCCGGGGGGGCGGAGGGGGCAGGGGGGGGTGGGGGGGCAAGGGGGGGCGGGGGGGTCACGTTCAAGGTGAACGATGAGGGCGTGAAATCGCGCGAAGCGGACGTTCGTTGAAATAAAATAAAAAATCTTATATGTAAATATATCTTAAGATAATTAGCCCGACACAAAGTTCGAGCGATGGTAATTATGTTGTGCGGTGATTTGCGGTGCATGTGTGCACGCGTGTGTGTATGTGCGCGCGCGTGTGTGTGTGCGCGTGCGTGTCTGTGCACGCGTGTGTGCGCGTGCGTGTGTGTGTGCGCGTGCATTTGTGTTTGTGTGTGTGTGCGTGTGTGTGCATGCGTTTGTGTTTGTGTGTGTGTGCGCGTGTGTGCGTGCGTTTGTGTTTATGTGCGCGTGTGTGTGTGTGCGTGTGTGTGCATGCGTTTGTGTCCAGGGCACGGTGCTGTCCAGCCCACCCACCAGCCCCCCCGCCATGTGTTGCCGTGCCGGCCTTCGTAGGCGCGACTTGCAAATAGCACTTGCACAGACAGCCTGTGTAGGCTCTGCGGGGTGGGGGATGACTCCGAGCGGATGCTCTTCCCGTCCCTGCCTCACCTCCCTCCGCGCGCTCCCCCTGAGATTCGTTTCGCTCCTCAGATTTCGTTCCATCCTCCGCCTCCTCCACCTCCTTCACCTCCTCCACCTCCTCCGCCTCCTCCGGTCGCCGGGCTGTTGGCTTCCGCGCTCTCGAGCGTGCGATGACGCACCTGGAACGGACACGCGACGCAAACTTTATTGGATTCGTCGATTTAAACAAACGTATACGCGCGCGCACGTGTGTGTGTGTGTGTGTCAACGATTTAGGTACGACACCCTCCAACATGCGTCGTCTGTCATAGGAAATATATAATTAGCAATCAATGCTGTTACGTGATAATTTATGCTGTTATGTGCTCATTAATGCTGTTATGTGCTCATCTAAGCTGTTGTATGCTAATTAATGTCGTTATATGCTAATTAATGTTGTTACGTGAAAATTGACGCTGTTATGTGCTAATTGATATTGTTATTCGCTGTTGTAATGACAGCTCAGTCTATGTGAGTCTTTGGGTCTCTGTTTAGGTCTGTGGTTCTGTATGAAGGTCTATGGGGCTCCGTGTAGATCTATGGGTCTCTATGTACATCTATGGATCTCTGTGCAGGTCTTTGAGTCTCTTTTTACGTATAGGGGTCTCTGTGTAGATCTATGGATGTCTATGTGAGTCTATGGATCTCTTTGTAAGTCTATGAGTATCTATGTACATCTATGGGTCTGTGTCTGCATCTATGGGTCTGAAATACAATTTTTTTGGTCACGGCGCATCTCCACGAATCGCTGACTTAGACCTAAGGGTTGACGGATCAAGCGATGATGGACTCCCCCCGCGGCTGCGAGTATTCCCGAACGCTTGTTCACTCCACTGCTATTCACGTGGCAGCTCTAAACAGCTCCCCCCAAGAAGGTAACATTGGCCTACTCTTCCACCCGCGTTCTACGCCCCCAGCGCACGCCAGGCGAGGGAGTCAACATCTCACCACTGTGATGATGATGAGAGAGAGAGAGACGCAAACTCAAAATACACAGCAAGGCTTCGAGAACGTCGAGATCGAGCACACGATCTCCTGTATACCAGGCGAGGGAGTCAACATCTCACCACTGTGATGATGATGATCATGAGAGAGATAGACGCAAACTCAAAATATACAGCAAGGCTTCGAGAACGTCGAGATCGAGCACACGACCTCCTGTACACCAGGCGAGGGAGTCAACATCTCACCACTGTGATGATGATGAGAGAGAGAGAGAGAGACGCAAACTCAAAATACACAGCAAGGCTTCGAGAACGTCGACATCGAGCACACGACCTCCTGTACACCAGGCGAGGGAGTCAACATCCCGGCCGCTCACCGGTAGCACGGCGCTCCTCCGCGCGCGCCGGTGAAGGTGAAGAGGGCGCCGGCTCCGAGGCGGGCGCCGCGGCGGTGGCGGTGCTCGCAGCAGGCGCTGACGCGGGCGTGGGGCACGCCGCCCACAAACACGGTGAGGCTGAACGGAAAGCCCGCGTGGCGCCGTGACTCGAACTCGAACTCGTCTGTGAGACGCAGCGGGTCCGGGGGGGGGGAAGGGGGTGGTGGGGGGGTAGAAGGTAAGGGGGTGGGGGGGGGGAAGGGGGTTGGGGGGAAAGACGGGGTGGCGGGGGGGATCATGTCCACAACATTGATGGTGTCACGGAGGCCAGACGTTAACTACCTCGACTTGTATGCAGGAGGTCGTGGGTTCGATCCCGACCCTGACGATGCCTGCTGTATATTTGGAGTTTGCGTCTCTCTCTCATCATGGTCACTGTGACGAGATGTTAACTACCTCGCCTGGTATACAGGAGGTTAGGGGTTCGACTCCGACCCGGATACTGCCTGCTGTATATTTTTGTTCTTTGCATGTTATCCCCGTGGTCTTGTGGAGTTTGTTGTCCTTCCCCCGCACCTCCGATTAGTACGGTCGGCTACGTACGGCCCAAGACCACGGTGTGTTTCTGATGTGATGCGGCGTCTCACCGCCGGGGCGCAGCGTCCCGTCGTAGACGCAGAGGTTCTCCCCGCCGCAGTGCTGCTGGAAGATGCGCACCTCGCTCCCGTCGCGCTCCGCGTAGCACGAGCCCCCCAGGTAGCGCACCCCCACCACGGCGCCGCCGACGCGAGCCGGGGGGCTGCTACGGGTCACCCACGGTCTCCCGGGGGGCGGCCGGGGGCACGGAGACCCACCGGCGCAAGCGTCCCCCTGAGGGTGTGTGCGGGAGGCGATGGCGGTTGATGGCGATCAGCGATGATACCTTCGTGATGGCGATGGCAGGTCCAGTTTATTTTCGTCGGCTTCACGAAAAGGCCATAACATTTTTAGGAGGCTCGACCAGGACAGCCCCTCCCTCCATTAGCCAGCCCCTCCCCACTACTCAGGTAGCCCCGCCCACTCATTAAGTAACCCTGCCCCACTACTCAGGTAGCCCCGACCCACTACTGAGCTAGCCCCGCCTACTACTCAGCTAGCCCCGATCCACTACTCAGCTAGCCCCTCCCCACAACTCAGGTAGCCCCGCCCACGACCCAGGTAGCCCCGACCCACTACTCAGGTAGCCTCTCCCCACAACTCAGGTAGCCCCGCCCACGACCCAGGTAGCCCCTCCCCACTACTCAGGTAGCCCGCCCACTCATTAAGTAGCCCTGACCCACTACTCAGGTAGCCCCACCTACTACTTGAGTTGCTTCGCCCACTACTCAGACAACTCCGCCCTTTGCCTGCATTGTGGTTGAGGACGAGGCCAGGTAATTTTAAAGTAAAGGGAAAATCCAGATTTTCTACGAAAGCTTCACGACATGAGGATGGGACTGGAATAGTTGGAAGCCGCGATTTAGAAGGAGCTAAGCGTGCTATTAAATTCCAAACAAAACCTCTACATACTCTCTGGTTCTTTCGGTAAAATCACGTATGTATAAAATAAAATGAATCACGACGTTTTGGGCGCAACGCAAGTGTCCGTCATCAGGTGAGAAAGTAGATGACGGATGATTGTGTTCCTCCCGAAACATCGTGATTTATTTCATTTTATACCCACGTGACTTTACCGAAAGAACCAAAGAGTATGGATTCCTGCAGTCATGAAAGCTTCAAATCAAGATTAAAACCTCTACAATTGCACGAAAACGTGTAAATTAAGCACTAATTAACGAATGAATTCCACACAAAATAACTGTGATTTTCTTTACCTGATTGCCAGGGGACCAGTTGGCTCGGTTGGGCGCCGTTGTGGATCTCATCAACCTCCGACCCCGCCTGCGCAACGACCCTTCACCTCCGCCACCAACATGGCCACCTCCACCAGCACCACCAACATGGCCGCCGTCACCAGCAACACCAACATGGCCACCTCCACCACCGACATGGCCACCTCCACCACCAACATGGCCACCTCCACCACCAACAAAATGGTCGCTGCCATCGACACCATCATGGCCGCCGCCACAAACAAAATGGCCACATCCGCCACCACCAAAATGGCGGGCGTGCCTTGTGGGCCCGGCCGATCGGGCCCCGCGAGCCCGCGCAGGAGGCGGCGACGTAGGCTGGGCCGTACCGGCGCTGCCCGCTCGGCTGCCCTGTGTCGGCGGCAGCAGCGGGAGTTTGTAGGGAGAGATGTCGCGGGGGTGCACGCGGGCGACGGGGCCTTGGGGGGCCCAGGCGTGCTGCATGCCCCCCCACCAACGAACGAAAGACATCCCGCAAGAAAAATATAATTTGTTAGTCTAACATGTGGATTAGACAACACATACACAGGTTAATGACATCATCCAAACTGTTAAGAAAAGTGAGTGTGGCTTGGGCAAAGGATGCGTCATGGCCAGAATGGACGGTGGCCGAGGATCAAGAATAATTACGTAGAGGCAGCCAAGGATGGGAGGCGATGGATCCGAGTTAAATGTTGCATTATCAGAACGGTAAGGCGGTGGCGGCAGCTTTTGGGGGCCTTCATCCAGCAGTGGGAGGACCATGGCTGATGATGATTCCGAAGCCCCCTTTTACCTTCTGATGCCTCCTTCCATCGCTGCTGTCAGACATCACCGGGCCTTGCTTTGTGGTCGAGGGCCTGTACCCCTGCCCAGGCCTCAGGCTCGGGTCTGGCTCTGGGGCTGAGAGGGGCCGTGACATCAAGCTCCTCCTTGGTAAGCGGGCCGCACGCGGGCGCTGCCGCATGTTGTCCTAGGGCAGAGAAGAATTTGCGATGGGGGTTTGCCAGCTGCCTGAGGAGTCTCGAGTGTGTTTGTGTAACCAGTCAGTGAGTGGGTGAGTGGTTGAGCGAATGATTTGGTGAGTTGGTGAGTCTGTGAATGTGTGGGTGAGTTAGCGAGCAGGTGAGTGAGTGAGTTCAAGAGTCATGCTGATTTTTGTGAGTAACTCAAGAGGCCAGGATAGATTGTCGTTTGCAAAGAGTGACCCTGGGACTTCAGTCTGCTGCCAGTAGATGGTGACGAATGCCGCTGTGCGGTGGTCAATATTTTTAATTTTTGGGAACCAATTCGAGGGATCTTTTGCCCTTCCGCTGCGAGTGAAGCGAATGGCGAGTGGTAGCAGTACTAATACTACCGTTAGGCAAAGATCCCCCATATAACCTGAACAGAATGTTGGGGCAAGTGCTGTTAGCGAGCACCTATGAAGGCCGGAACAGCACACAAAGGGGTGGGTGAGCAGCACCACGCCCGACTGCTTTCGACTCCCTAGTGACGACGTTTACACACCACACCAGGTCCTCATTTGCGGCTGAATCAACCTAGGGGAGGCCCAGGACCGGCTCAGATAATCGTCGCTGGTGTTGACCGTGTGCGGAAATCGAACTTGGTTTGCTGGGTTCATAGCCGCTGCTCCCCACAATACACACTCACACGCAGTGATAACCAGGGCCTGCTCGCTCGATTTCAACCATGAACCTCGACCATTCGCCCATCCATCCCTTCGACAACATTTCACTTTGCCAACGCGTTCAACAAACGTGCCGTGCCCTCGATTGTCGACGCCGCATAAAACGGCCGAGTGCAGCCGCACGCGCGCTCCGCACCCCATGCAGAGCGCGTTGGCCGTGACGCAGGCCACAGTAGATCTGTGGCAGAATTAATGGTAAAATCACGTGCATTTTTCCAAGCCCGTGTATACTGGGGGGGTCGGGGGGGGAGGGCGATTCCGCGTGGTTTCTGCCCAAATCAGGACACACTGGGAAGGCGGAACGCCATGGCGACGGGAGCGCTACCGGCGGTGGAGAGGGAGAGGCGGAGCGACTGCGCTCGGCTGCGCCGTCGGAGAGGGTTGCCCGGTGGTGGTGGCGCAGGCCGCCCCTGCCGAGACGCGCCGTTGCTCGCTGGGGGGGCACCGCAATGTGGACGATGCCGTCGACGCCTCGTACCGCGTGCTCCACCTGCGACCGACGACAACGACGACGATGATGACGATGATGATGTTGATATGAGGACGATGATGATGACAATGATGACGATCGTGGTGAAGATGACAATGATGATTGTGACGATATATGATGACGACGATGATGGCAACCACAACGAAGATGATGACGAGGACGACGATGACGACGATGACGACGAGAGGAACACATATGATTTTTTTCTTTCCCAAAAATCGGAAATGTACCGAGCGAAATGACTCGCTAGCCACTATCGTTACCCTGCTTCCATTCTCTATCGGAATTCCCCAAAGCGACGATCATCGCCCGCGACTGGCAGACTCATTAATGCCCCACCCTAGGCCGGGTGTGAACACGTATTATTTTAATATTCAAGCACCGCCCGCGCATTTGCGTGGGATACATGGCCGGGGTGAAGAGTTGGGGGCCGGGGGGAGGGGGGGTGATGGCGTCATCGCGCAGATGCACCCGGTGGATGGTGGAGGGTCGAGGTGGATAGAGGTTGGTGGAGGGTCAAGGTGGATGGTGGAGGGTCGAGGTAGAGGTGAATAGTGGTTTTAGGGTTAAGTTGGATGGAGGGTGGTGGAGGGTTAAAGTAGAGATGGTGGGTTAAGGTGGATGGTGGAGGTGGTGGGTCAAGATGGATGGTGGAGGGTTAAGGTGGATGGTGGAGGTGGTGGATCAAGATGGATGGTGGAGGGTTAAGGTGGATGGAGTGTGGTGGAGGTGGTGGGGCAAGATGGATGGTGGAGGGTTAATGTGGATGGAGTGTGGTGGAGGTGGTGGGTCAAGATGGATGGTGGAAGGTTTCTATGGAGGTGGATGGTGGAGGTGGTGGGTCAACGTGGATGGTGGAGGGTTAAGGTGGAGGTGGATGGTGGAGGGTGATGGTGGAGCTAGATTGCGGAGGAAGAAAGCTTAGACATGTATGGAGGAGGGTTGAGGAGGATGGAGGTGGATGGAGGAGGAGGAGGAGGAGGAGACCAGACCCGCACACGAAGCACCCTCTCCCGGCAGCTGATTTCCTGCAGCTTCCTCACGATCTCCACCTGCCGGAGTCGCTGCTCGGACACACAGACAAAGACAAAGAGACCCGGCCTCGGTTAGCTTTCAACAGACTGCTTGGGGCAAGTGATGTTAATAGCGAGCAGCACAGCACCTATTGAAGGCCCAGCACTATGGCAGACGTGTGGGTGGGGTAGCCAGGACTACGCCCGGCCGCCTTTGTCTCCTCAGCACTGATGTTTACGACACACTGCACCAGGGTGCTCCTAACGGGGAGGGCCCGGGACCGGTTCAAATTTCCCGGGACCGGTTCAAATTTCTGCCGGCACTGTTATTGGTGACGTCACCACGGATCTCCATTGTAGCATAGTCGGGTCGCTGGCTAAATGCGCGAGATCATCACATGAAATTAACGCAAACTCTGTGCATGGCTGTAGGCCGGTGAGCAGGCAGAGACCATCAAATTGCTATCGTGTACTTGAGAAATCCTGTTTCATCATACCTTCCAGTCTGTGTGAGCCTATGGGTCTCTAGGTAAGTCTTATGGCTCTACATGTGAGTCCATGTGGAAAGTAGCCGGGCAACCGGCCAAACGGAACCACCACCATCATCACCACCATCATCATCAGTGTAACACATCAAATACACTCAGAACACTCAACCCGCACCGAGCCCGCTGGAGCTGACGAAGTAATGACGTAAACAAGCAGACAGCCCGTCCGCGTATTCGCTCGACGTTCGCCCAACGTTGCATATCATTCTCATCGTCGTCATCATCATCGCCGCCCCTGCTGAGCCGGAGTCACCGCTTTTCACCTCGGCGCGCTTGCCACGGCCCCCCCCCCCCGGCAAGGAACCCCCAAAACCACCACGTGGCACCCCTCTGGGGCTCGGAGTCGAACCCGGGTCACCTCGACGTCCAGGGCCTTGCTGAGCACGGTGTGGGCGAGGAGCGTGTGGACGCAGTCGCGCTGCTCGTGACGACACAGGCGCTGCCGGTGCTCCTTCTCCGACACGAGGCGCCCATCGCGCGTGATCTACAGACACGTGGCAGGGGTAGGGGGCAGCCGTGGGAGTGTTAGCGGTAGGGGTCGTGTTAGGGGTGGGGGTAGTGTTAGGGGTAGGGGTCGTGTTAGGGTAGTGGTCGTGTTAGGGGTAGTGTATGGGGTAGAGGAAGTGTTAGGGGTAGTGTTAGGGGTAGGGGTAGTGTTAGGGATAGTGGTAGTGTTGGGGCTAGGGGTAGTGTTAGGGGTAGGGGGCAGCCGTAGGAGTGTTAGCGGTAGGGGTAGTGTTAGGGGTAGTGGTAGTGTTAGGGGTAGTGGTAGTGTTAGGGGTAGGGGTCGTGTTAGGGGTAGGGTAGTGTTAGGGGTAGGGGTAGTGTTAGGGGTAGTGGGAGTGTTAGGGGTAGGGGTAGTGTTAGGGTAGTGGTAGTGTTAGGGGTAGTGGTAGTGTTAGGGGTAGTGGTAGTGTTAGGGGTAGTGGTAGTGTTAGGGGTAGGGGTAGTGTTAGGGTAGTGGTCGTGTTAGGGGTAGTGGTAGGGGTAGTGATCTACAGACACGCGGCAGGGATAATGGACAGCCGTAGGAGTGTTAGGGTAGTGGTAGTGTTGGGGGTAGGGGTAGTGTTAGGGGTAGTGATCTACAGACACGCGACAGGGGTAGGGGACAGCCGTAGGAGTGTTAGGGGTAGGGGTCGTGTTGAAGGTGGGGTAGTGTTAGGGGTAGTGGTAGGGGTAGTGATCTACAGACACGCGGCAGGGATAATGGACAGCCGTAGGAGTGTTAGGGGTAGGGTAATGTTAGGGTAGGGGTAGTGGTAGTGTTAAGGGTAGTGATCTACAGACACGCGGCATGGGTAACGGACAGCCGTAGGAGTGTTAGGGGTAGGGGTCGTGTTGGGGGTGGGGTAGTGTTAGGGGTAGGTGTAGTGTTGGGGGTAGAGGAAGTGTTAGAGTAGGGGTAGTGGTAGGGTAGTGGTAGTGTTAGGGGTAGTGATCTACAGACACGCGGCAGGGGTAGGGGACAGCCGTAGGAGTGTTAGGGGTAGGGGTAGTGTTAGGGGTAGTGGTAGTGTTGGGGGTAGGGGAAGTGTTAGGGGTAGGTGTAGTGTTAGGGGTAGGGGTAGTGTTAGGGTTTGGGGAAGTGGTGGGGGTGGAGAAAGTGTTAGGGGTAGTGATATAGTGATCTACAGCAGTGATCTACACCCACACGGTAGGGGTATGGATAGCCGATAGTAGTCTTTGGGTTAGGGTGTAGTGTTCGAGGTAGGGGTAGTAATTGGGGTCGTGATCTGTATAGGGGTAGTGATTGGGCGCATATTATGGATAGGGATAGTGATTGGAGTAGTGTTATGGATCGGGATAGTGATTGGGGTAGTGTTAGGGACAGGGGTAGTGATTGGGGAGTGTTAGAGGCAGGGGTAGTGATTGGGGTAGTGTTATGGACAGGGGTAGTGATTGGGGTAGTGTTATGGACAGGAGTAGCGATTGGGGTAGTGTTATGGACAGGGTAGTTATTGGGGTTATGGTATGGATGGGGTATTGATTGGATTAGTGTTATGGACAGGGGTAGTGATTGGGGTAGTGTTAGGGACAGGGGTAGTTATTGGGGTAGTGTTATGGACAGGGGTAGTGATTAGGGTGGTGTTAGAGGCAGGGGTAGTGATTGGGGTGTGTTAGGGACAGGGGTAGTGAATGGGGTTATGTTATGGATGGGGTATTGATTAGGGAGTGTTAGAGGCAGGGGTAGTGATTGGGGTTATGTTATGGATGGGGTAGTGACTGTGGTAGTGTTCGGGACAGGGGTAGTGACTGGGGTGGTGTTATGGACAGGGGTAGTGTTTGGGGCAGTGTTATAGATAGAGATAGTGATTGGGGTAGTGTTATAGACAGGGGTAGTGATTGGGGTGGTGTTATAGATAGAGATAGTGATTGGGGTGGTGTTAGCGACAAGGGTAGTGACTGGGGCTGTGTTAACTTGGAGTCTAAGGGGGCTCTGGCTCCGCTCTAGTTCCACCGCCTTGCCGATTCGTGCAGGCCGCAACACTTTTTGGACCTTTGCAGCAAGGCCATAATTATTTTAATATAATAAAAATTGGGGGGGACACATCCCCCCCAATATTCAAATATGCTCAACATGTCCCCCCCCCCCCAATATATTGGTATAAAATAGATTTCTGTTTATATGATTGTGGTTATATTTGTACTTTACTAATCCCTAATCTCTGCGATTACATACAATGCACCATGAAAAGGTAAAAAAGAAAAAAACAGAGCAATGTAATACAATACACTATTAGACATTATTATTAAAATAAATAAAAGTCCATCCTACGTGTTAGTGAATTTTTTCATATTTTAGTCAGGAAATGTCAGGAAATTAGTTTTCAAAGATTTGGTCCCAACCAATGAAGATTTGGTTCCAACCCAATGTTGACTCCACGGCTACGGCTTTGCTTTGCAGCGTCTCCACCAGCGGCCGCCAGGCGGCGATGGAGAGTCGTGAACTCACCGCCAGCCCCAAGCTACGCAGGGCATGCCACCCAACATGGGCTGGTGGGCGAGTCGTCTACTCGATCGACTGCTACCTGCCACGTGACGGTGGAACGAATCACGCGGCGGTCTACCGAACCACGTGACGGTCTGCCAAGTCACGTGGCAGTCGGCAGCGGTCAGCCGAATCACGTGGTGGTCTATCGAATCACGTGGTGGTCTACCGAACCACGTGACGGTCTGCCAAGTCACGTGGCAGTCGGCAGCGGTCAGCCGAATCACCTGGTGGTCTATCGAATCACGTGGTGGTCTACCGAACCACGTGACGGTCTGCCAAGTCACGTGGCAGTCGGCAGCGGTCAGCCGAATCACGTGGTGGTCTATCGAATCACGTGGTGGTCTACCGAATCACGTGACGGTCTGCCAAGTCACGTGGCAGTCGGCCGAACCACGTGGCGGTCGTCGTGGACTCACCAGCCCCATGCGGCGGAGGTGCCGTCGAACTCGGTCCCCGCTGAAGTAGCCGCCCAGGTTGGCGTCCGTGAGGCTGTTGTAGTTTCTGAGCAACCTTTTGGCGGGGAGAGGGGGGGGGAGAAAATGTAAGACAAAGTCGCCCCTCCACACCACCCCCCCCATCCCCCATTACCACAACGCACCACCCATAGACTAACATAGACCCCATAGACTATCATAGACCCCATAGACTAACACAGACCCCATAGAATAACACAGATACCATAGACTATCATAGACCCCATAGACTATCATAGAACCCATAGACTAACATAGATCCCATTGACTAACACAGATCCCATAGACTATCATAGACCCCATAGACTATCATAGACCCCATAGACTATCATAGACCCCATAGACTATCATAGACCCCATAGACTAACACAGACCCCATAGACTAACATAGATCCCATAGACTAACATAGAGTTTATAAACTAACATAGAGCCATACTCTTTGTTTTTTTCGGTAAAGTCACGTAGGTAAAAAAAGGAAAATAAATTAAATCACGACGTTTCGGAGGCGGGGGGGGGAACGTCGTGATTTATGGACCCTTATGGACCCTTGCAGTCACGAAAACTTCAAATCTAGAATTAACATAGAGCCCATCGACTAACACAGTGCCCATAGACTAACATAGATCCCATATACTCTATAACTGAGTGCCCATATCCTCTATAACATAGAACCGGTGTTCCTTAACCTTCACTGCAGCCTTGCACCCCTTTGGTTCTGAATCGTAAAACAATGTACTAAGTTTAGAGATACACAGGGTTTTGAAGCTTTCGTGACTGCATGAATCCATACCTTTTGGTTTTTTCGGAAAAGTGACGTGGGTATAATATAAAACAAATCACGACGTTTCGACTGCAACACAAGCAATAATCATCATCAGGTGGGAAACCCACAGCAAAAAAATAAATTCCACTTCAGCAAAAAAAATTATTGCTGTGGTTTTGCAATCAAAACGTCGTGATTTTATTTTTTATATACCTTCGTGACTTTACCGAAAGAACCAAAGAGTATAGATACACAGGGTTTGATGTAACAAAGTAAGCTGTAACTCACCCTGCCCCGTGCTTAATTTGTATTCTCGATTATTCAACTTCTCAAAAAAATCTGCCCACGTCTCGCCACCCCCAGTTGGGGCATCTCGCACTCCCTGGGGGTTCAACTTCACCGCACGTCAAGAGGAAGAACGACTGACAAAGATTAACATAAGACCTGTAGATTTCCATAGACGCCACGGGCTTACACACAGCGCAGTTTGTTAACAACCGCACGGCAGAACGTGCCACGCGTATTGTCATCTTGCTGGTATGGACCACGGAGCCAGGTAGCTTCGCAAACAACAGTCGATTGTGGGATCCGACCCGCACACACTGCACACACACACACTGTAAACACACACACACTGCACACACACACACTGCATACACACACACTGCACACACACACATTGCACACACACACACACACTGCACACACACACACATTTCATACACACTGCACACACACACACTGCACACACACACTGCACACACACACACTGCACACACACACACTGCACACACACACATTGCACGCACACACACTCCACGCACACACGCTCCACACACACACACTGCACACACACACACACTACACACACACACATTGCATACAAACACACTGCACACACACACACTGCACACACATTGCATACACACACACTGCACACACACACACACTGCACACACACACACTGTAAACACACACACACTGCACACACACACTGCATACACGTACACTTCACACACACACACATTGCACACACACACTGCACACACACACACACTGCACACACACACACTGCACACACACTGCACTACATACACACATTGCACACACACACTGCACACACACATTACACACACTGCACACACACACACACTGCACACACACACCGCACACACACACTGCACACACACACACTCCACACACACACACACTGCACACACACACACTGCACACACACACTGCACACACACATTACACACACTGCACACACACACTGCATACACACACACTGCACACACACACACATTGCACACACACACACTCCACACACACACACACACTGCACACACACACACTGCACACACACATTGCATACTAGACACACACACACATTGCACACACACACACTCCACACACACACACTGCACACACACACACTGCACACACACACACTCCACACACACACACTGCACACACACACACACTGCATACACACACTGCACACACACACACACACTCCACACACACACACTGCACACACACACACACTGCATACACACACTGCACACACACACACTGCACACACACACACTCCACACACACACACTGCACACACACACTGCACGCACACACACACACACATTGCACACACACACTGCACGCACACACACACACACTGCACACACACATACTGCAAACACACACACTGCACACACACTGCACACACACACACATTGCATACACACACACACTCCACACACACACTGCACACACACACACTGCACACACACTGCACACACACACTGCACACACACACACACATTGCACACACACACACACTCCACACACACACACTGCACACACACACACTGCACACACACATACACTCCACACACACACACTGCACACACACACACATTGCATACACACACATTGCATACACACACACACTCCACACACACTGCATACACACACTGCATACACACACACTCCACACACTCCACACACACACACTGCACACACACACACATCCTTTCCAAGCCCCGCAGGGGCATTCTCAAGTTGCCAAAGCCGTGATCTGTGATCATGCAGTGGCATACCTGCGTTAGGCATGCCCCGCCCCCACGTGGAGGTGGAGTGTGCAGGCGGTACAACTGCACCAGAGCCTGTGGTCTAAGTTGACATTAACAAGTATTAAATGTACCCCATTGAGTGCACAGCCTTGCTTGGGTTTTTTTTTAGAATGTGGGTGTCTAAGTGTATGAGTCCGATAGCAGTCTATGGGTTTCTGTGTTAGTGCATGGGTCTCTGTCTATGTCTATGGGTCCTGTATAATTATATGGGTCTCTGTGTGAGTCTATGTGTATCTAAGTCTATGGGTCCTATATAAGTCTATGGGTCTCTGCGTGAGTCTATGAGTGTCTGTCTAAGTGTATGGGTCCTATAGCAGTCTATGGGTCTCTGTGTTAGTGCATGGGTCTCTGTCTACGTCTATGGGTCCTGTATAATTATATGGGTCTCTGTGTGAGTCTATGGGTGTCTAAGTCTATGGGTCCTATACAAGTCTATGGGTCTCTGTGTGAGTCTATGGGTGTCTAAGTGTATGGGTCCTATATAAGTCTATGGGTCTCTGTGTTAGTGCATGGGTGGGTCTCTGGCTACGTCTATGGGTCCTGTATAAGTGCAGGCGGTACAACTGCACCAGAGCCTGTGGTCTAAGTTGACATTAAGAAGTATTAGATGTACCCCATTGAGTGCACAGCCTTGCTTGGGTTTTTTTTTAGAATGTGGGTGTCTAAGTCTATGGGTCCTATAGCAGTCTATGGGTCTCTGTGTTAGTGCATGGGTCTCTGTCTACGTCTATGGGTCCTGTATAATTATATGGGTCTCTGTGTGAGTCTATGGGTATCTAAGTCTACGGGTCCTATATAAGTCTATGGGTCTCTGTGTGAGTCTATGGGTGTCTAAGTCTATGGGTAATATACGTCTATGGATATCTGCGTGAGTCTATGAGTGTCTGTATAAGTGTATGGGTCCTATATAAGTCTATGGGTATCTGTGTTAGTGCATGTGTCTCTGGCTACGTCTATGGATCCTGTATAAGTATATCGGTCTCTGTGAGTCTATGGGTCTCAATGTGAGTCTATGTGTCTCGATGTGAGTTATGGGTCTCTATGTGAGTCTATGTGTCTCTATGTGAGTCTTTGGGTCTCTATTTGAGTCTATGGGTCGCTGTGTGAGTATATGGGTCTATATGTGAGTCTATGGGTCTCTATGTTAGTCTATGTGTCTCTATGTGAGTCTATGGGTCTCTATGTAAGTCTATGGGTCTCTATGTGAGTCTATGGCTCTCTATGTGAGTCTATGGGTCTCTATGTGAGTCTAGGGGTCTCTATTTGAGTCTATGGGTCTCTATGTGATTATATGGGTCTCTATGTAAGTATATGAGTCTCTATGTGAGTCTATGGGTTGTTTTAAAATGTCGGCTAAACTTAAGTTGATGGATTCCTATCTTAGCCTACGTGTCCTATGTAAGTCTATGGCTCCTCTGTTATTCTGTGGCTATCTGCATAAGCTCATGGGTTCTGTGTCTATGGGTCATTTCTGTGTCTGTAAGTTCTAAGTGAGTTCACAGGTTACGTGTTAGTACGTGGGTTCTATGTGAGTCTCTGGGCGATATGTGAGTCTCTGGCTCCTGGCTGCTACGTGATGCGAGTCTAGAGGGTCATGGGTAAGTCTACGGTCTCCGATGTAAGCTCCATAACTGCCGCATCGATCATTGATCGCTATGTTGAATCGATGGCAGCTATTTAATTGCATGGGTCTCCAGGCTAGCTGTGGGCTCGTGTGTGTGTGTGTGTGTCTCCAGCTCTTGTCTCCTCTACGCTTGATCGGCTTACAAAGTGAAAGGCTAATTGATCAAGCGACGCCGCTCACCGTTGCCCCTGGGCCCGAGGGTGGGCACGCGCGCGTGTGGGTGTGCATGTGTGTGCGTGTGTGCGCGTGTGTGCGTCTGTGTGTGTGCGTGCGTGTGCATGTGTGTGCGTGTGTGCGCGTGTGTGTTTAGGTGTGTGTGTTTGCATGTATGTGTGCGTGCGTGTGTGCGTCTGTGTGCGTGGTGTGTGTGTGCATGTATGTATGTGTGCGTGCGTGCGTCTGTGTGTGTGCGTGTGTGTGCATGTGTGTGCGTGTGTGCGCGTGTGTGTTTGGGTGTGTGTGTGTATGTATGTGTGCGTGTGCGTCTGTATGCGTGCGTGTGTGCGTGCGTGTGTGC